CATATGTATGAACATATAGAAACTGAGAAGCGTACTTCGGCATGCGCGCAGCACTTTCATCGGCAATGCCAAAATTGGTTGGAAAGCAAGAAACTGAAAAAAATAATAATAATAGAAAAGCTGAAAAACAACAACAAACAATGTAGAAAATTTATTGAAAATCGTTGATTTGCCAATGTGTGTATGTATGTATGTATGTATGTACAGCACCGGTTTAGTTTGGGTTTTTGCATGTCGCTTATTTGTAGCAAGAAAACCACTAAACTCACCGTGCTGCCGATGAAGAGGCAGCGCCAAGTGCAGCAGTGGCGGCGACAACAACGACAACAAAATGCAGCCCTGACAGCAGCACCGCATTCAACGCGATAGGAGCTTTTGTTTGATTTGCGCATAGAAATTTCTTTCAGTCGACTTTGCAATTTCCAACGCGCTTGACTGATTCGCTTGACGCTCGAAGCGCTCGTACGTCTAGTTTTTGCGCCTAGCCCAATCTGTCGTGTGTGATTAGTTGTGAATTATAATTAATTTTTTTTTCACATAAAATTAATTTTTTTTTTGTTTTGCAAAAGCGAAGGATACTGTGTAGTTTACAGGCCAGCAAACGGCCATGAAGATATTAGACGTTATTGTTTACCTCATTTCGATTTTAATCTTTCTGTACATTCTCTTGGAATAAAGTGTGCGTGTGTGAGTTTGTTAAAGATTAGCGGGAAGGCTGGATTATTTTTATTAAACAAATTAATTACTACTATTTGGATTAAAGCAAGGATTTGACTTGAAATTTATAAAAAAAAACAAAATGAAGGTGAGTTAAAAAAATAAATTCGAAGTGAAAAGGGAAAATGTGCAAGGAAAATTCATATGTTGGTGTTACCAGAGCAACTGATTTCAAGGCGAGTTGACGAATTGTCAAAATGTTGCGTTTGTTGTGAAATTGTTGTGTTCTAATTGCCATTGTGCGTATAATTTGTTGGTGTAATTTTTTGTTTTTATGCTGCCGCTATCACCTTATATGAATTCGCCTTGGAAAATATTTGTTCTTTTACAAATGAAGAAGAAAATATTGAACAGTTGTAACTAGCGGATATCATAAAAAGAAGGAGGTTATTAAATCGTCGGATTTTTTTATATGTTATCGCATAACTTTGGGCCACATTCGATCATTATTTTTTTTTATCGAAAGGGGTAGTATCTCAAGGGTGGTCCCATAATAATTTTCTTTAGATACGATCATTGAAACATGAACAAAATTAACGGTACTCCTAAAATTTTATATGAAATTGAAGTCACAGGCTGTCCCATTCTAATTTGGTTTAAATCCAATCATTGGATTATGAAGAGATTAATGATAATCTTAAATTTTTATATGAGAATTGAAGTCGATTTTGTTGTTTGCTTAAAATTACTTGCTCATATCTAGTAGCAAGTAACATGAGGAATTTTCGGAAACAAAGTAGGCTAATGCTCTAGAATTTCAATGGTTTCTGAGCACAAATCTAAATCAAGTGATTATCAAGGGACTATTTTGAAGTCAACTTAACACCAACTCACTTAAGGTCTGCGGAGACGATACCTTATATAATAACACTCTACAACAAGCAAAAAATTGCCCGGGATCTCTCAACGGTTCCTAAAGCTTTTGTGTCCGCTGAATCCTAATCTGAAGTCAGAATTTTCGGGTCACCCTGAGTTTGCTGTTCGGTTTGTCCAGAAACCGGCATTTGTAGAAAAAAAAAATGTTTTGTTTTTAAATCATTGGACAGGTGTAACTAAAAGTTTTTGGGGTCACGGAAGAATGTATTTATTTTTAGATTTGACCGCATACAGATGTCGCTGCAGTGCGAAAAATTGGTGTTTTAGTACATTTTCTACTCATTTTATTTTTGAAAATAAATTTTATGCCGCCCTGTATTCTTGCAAGAAAATGCTAAATAAGAACTGGGGTCTACACACTGATCTTATGCATTGGATGTGCAGGGCGGCCAGCCTGCATTTCGTTCACGTAGGCGATCAGATCATTTTCCACGGAAGCGTTGAATTAGAGAAAGCGTTTATTAAACACACAGAGTTTGAGGAAACCGAGTCTGTGGAAAGAACATACATACATACGTTCATGGACGTATCCTGTACTTTTTCAATAACTATACCAAGCATTCGCGAAAAATCTGACTACATCTGTCCTTCGCTTCTGTTCAAGAAAAACTTCTGCATAATCTTTCCGTTCAAAAAGGAGTGGAAATATGTATGCTATTTTTATAATACGCTTAAAACTGGATTGTAGCGTATTGGCGGGGATTTTTCAACTGACATCCAACTCGAAAATATATTCGACTACCCAATACACGGGTGTTTGCTACCGAAAATGCGTGCAAAATAAATTTAACCTCGAAGCTAGCAGGAACTAGCATTGCTAACTTCACGGTTAGCCTCCTTAGTTAGTAAGCACTAGCAATTACCCGGCGTGCTTCGCTGCGCCTTAAATGTATTTTTGTGTTGTAACTCTCCCCCTAAGCTCTTATGGCCTCATTTACAAAATATTTTTAAAGAACTTTATGAAGTTAGATTTAAAAAAATCGATCTATGAAGCATTGTTTATTTTTTTTTTGAGTTAATATATTTTCGAAGGTAATTAGAAAATATGTAAAGAACCGACTTTCTCTTGGAAATTTAATTTATAATCTTATAACTGGAGTCTACTATCGCACCCTTTCCTCAAACGTGTATTGATTCAATATTCAAATAACGTATATTTATATAATTTGAAAAAATCTCCCTACTATACAAATATGTACAGCAATATTAAATAATATTTTCAAATGTTGTGAGAGGGAGTAACAAAACAAAATTACTTTTAAGGCGCAGCGAAGCACGCCGGGTATTCGCTAGTGTCACATGAAATTAACTGAGCAAAGTACAATGAATAGCTGTTAAACAATGGCACCATCTACTTTAAATGAAACATACTTATTTTCGTGGGGGATACTCACACACCATATACTTTTCTATTGAAATTTTTCCTGAATTTTCCTAGCTATAAACCTCCAACGAATGCAAAACCGTGAAAATCGGTTCGTGCGTTCTGGAGTTATAGCGTCAGGAAGGAAAACCCTACTTATTTTTATATTAATTTTTATATTAAAGAAGATTAAAGAACTGTCCGCATTACTCAATTTTATTTTTCACTAAAACGGTATTCATGAATTTTTTAATTTTTTTTTTATTTGCTTCCGCATACTTTTGACATAACAGCTTTCATTTTATGCCGATATTAAACAAATACAGCCTAAGTTTACCCGGGTCCACGTTTTGGTCTGTATCTCGTGACCCAAGTCACCCAGCTATATGAAAAGTGCTCAATCTTAAAGCATTCATGAA